CTCGTCAAAAAATTCTTGGTATTCTCAGCTATTTTCTGATGATGTTCGGAATTGCGAAGAACTGGCCGAAAATTTTAATAACTTTCTTACTGCCCTTACATCACATTTTGACCCTCTAACTCTCGACGAAACCCAGGAGGGCCTAGAAGTACCAAACCATTACCTCGTTGACGCCCAACAGATCTATATGAAACTTAGTAAAATTAAAACCACAAAATCACCGGGTCCTGACATGTTTCCAAATAAAATCCTGAAAACATTTGCCTTTGAGCTTGCCCCAGTTATCTCAGACATTTTTAACTCATCCATGACACAAGGCACCTTCCCAAAGGCATTGAAGAGATCTATTGTAGTGCCTGTCCCTAAGGTATCACCCCCAAAGAGTATTGAAGACGACCTACGACCAATATCTTTAACATCCCAGATCGCCAAAGTTATGGAGGATTGTACTTTGGACAATTTTTTTCCTGAAGTTGTAAATAAACTTGACACCAAACAATTTGCACTCCCAAAGAAATCAACGACCCACGCTTTGGTCTACCTTTTACATTCAATCTTGGTTGCTCTTGAGAGAGGTTCCTGTACTGCCAGATTGTTCTTTGCAGATTTCAAGAAAGGTTTTGACCTAGTAGACCACAATGTTATTATTAAAGAATTAACCCTGCTTGGTACCCATCCCTCTATAATTCGGTGGATTAAAGCCTTCCTCTGCGATCGCGAACAATGTGTCCGGTTGGGAACTTCTATGTCCTCTTGGAAGAAAACAAATGGTGGCTTGCCACAAGGTACAAAGTTGGGTCCATTATTGTTTGCTGTTCTCATTAATTCCTTACTTAAAAACTGGCCCAGTAGGATCAAGTTTGTGGATGACACCTCAGCCCTAGAGATTATACCACGTTTTTCATCCAGTTTAATGCCATTAGTCGTAAATGAAATCTCGGACTACGCCTTAGAACGTGGAATGGAACTAAATGATAAGAAATGCAAACAAATGTTGATCAACTTTCTTAAATATAAAGGATCTGATGATGAAAACCCGATCTATGTTGCAGGTAAACCGGTGGAAACTGTGTCCTCTTTCAAACTCCTAGGTGTATGGATATCAAATGACTTGTCATGGAATACTCATGTCAACATGGTATTGAAAAAGGCAAATTCTCGCTTATACGCATTGCGTCTGTTAAAAAAGGCTGGTCTCCAAGCATCTGACATCGTCCAAATATATATCTCATTCATCAGATCCAGAATTGAATATGCATCCCCTGTATGGTCGTCAATACCTAAATCATTATCTGACATTCTCGAATCTGTTCAAAAGAGAGCATTGAGAATAGCTTATCCAGATCTGTTATATGATGAAGCCCTTGAAATTTCAAACTTACAGTATCTGAGTACTTGTAGAGACATCTCTTGCAAGAAATTCGTCGAATCTCTGCGACGTGATGTTTCACCCTACAACCCTTTGACCCAAATTATGGAAATTCGTCCCGGGGTAAAAACTCATGACTATGACTTAAGGAATGACAGAACGGCCGAACAACCTTTATGGTCAGAAACCACTGAACGGTTAAAAAACTTCGTGACTAGGAAATATTATTAGCTTTATAGTTAATTAACAGTCCCAACTAAATAAACATTATTTTATATAATATATATATATGTACATTTTAATATAAATTTTTGTGCTATATTAGTACTCCATGTAATTCAGTTTTCCTTTAAAAACTGCAAATTGGTTTTAATTAAACAGATTGATTGATTGATTGATTGATTGATGTCTGCCGGCATCGCGTTCCCTAACTGTCCGTTCTATTGAAGATGTTTTATACGCTGGATAAAAGGCGACAAGTTTCCCGTACAATCATTTAGTTCAATGAGTTTGTTAGCCGCCGTGGTAGGGTTGCCGACCTATATCGGCGATGCGTATATAGTCGTATAAAGTCTAAAGCACACTTACGCTTTCTTAGAATGCCACCTTCTGTAAACACTTGCTCCCAATCCAAGGTAGAGCAGTTCCAAAGGTGCGAACTAAATTGTCTTCTGCATTCTTCCAGCGCGTGTTTCACCCCCTCTCCAATAATTTCAATCATTTCAGGAAAGTGATAACATAGCTTTCTCTGATTTTTATCAAGCCATTTTATTCCTCTGCAGTATGCCTTGGTATCAGATGAAGGTCTGGTCTTCACACTTCGGTTTGGTTTTTCACCATGACTCATGATAAACAAGCTATACCAAAAGTCAGAAATACAGGATTTATTACTACAAATATACATATTTCTCATAGAACGAAACATAAAATTTCAAATCTACAATCACGATGGAAGATGAATATTGATTAATACTGAGTTTTGAGAGAGCGTGAAGATGAATATTGTTGGTAGGAATATGAATATTTGTCAATATTTTGTGTAGGAATATGAATATTTTGGGTAGAAATATGACTATTACCAGTGGCGCCGTGGGACCCTTTTTTTTTTTTTGGGGGGGGGGGGCACAGGCTGTACTTTTCAGACAAACCTAAAAATAATTTCCGACAGAAATTTTTCTGGCGACCCCCATCCCCCCCCCCCGTCGCCAAAAAAATTTCGGTCAGTGTACCATTTTAGGGGTCAAAAATTTTTTCCGGACATACCTAAATTTTTCGTTACATCCTAAAATTTTTCCGGAAATCACCCATTTTCTCAATTTATCAAAAAATTTCCGAATTTACCAACGTCGGAAATTTTGCCAATTTCCGACAACGTTGTCAATTTTCCAAAAATTTCCGACAACATTCACAATTTTCCGACGGGTCTTCACAGTAGGGGGCCTGTCCCCCCCCCGGCCACGGCGCCACTGACTATTACTGGTGACTATTAAGAGTAGGAATTAATATTCTTTCTTACACCTCACACCCCCGTCGACCGGTTTTTAGGAACTTTTTAAGTAGGAATGCAGATATGTGAACTCACCCGCATTGAGTGGGTGACACCCGCATTTTGGAATCATCACACGCGGAAAAATTGGCACATAAAATCACCCGCATTAGCAAATTTTATAGCAATTCACCCGCATTCTGTGACTCTGTCTTCTGATTATGCATGCGCACATCTACTTCTACTTCAACTAGACTTAACTCTTAAGACGTTTGTATACATCTGTTTTGTCATAAACAAGAATATAAATATCTATGGAAGTTAGAAATATGGGGCTTAGCAAGGTTTTTATAAATCACCAATCAATTTTCTCAACAACAAAAAATGACGTCATGTCAAAAATTATATATCACCCGCATTTTTGTTACTTAGGGCACAGGGGGCAGAAAAGTACGATTGTGTTTATTTAAAATACCTTGTCATCAACCAATATATCGCATAGTTTCATCCAGGTTTCATCACGATGAAAATTATGTTGATTTTCGATAATATCATGCCTACTACTTCATGTAATTCAAACATTGTATTACAAGGACTGACCATAGTAGCCGTGGGCTCATACTAGAACGATTGACTTTGCTTACACGTACAAATAATAGAAAGGGATGAAACCCCCGATCGTGAAATATTTCGAATGGATATAACTGGCGTGTTTCTGAACCAAAACCTTTTATTTTTTGTATACAGTTTAGATATGATACACTTAGCATACCTGTACAAGGAAATTTTAAGAAACGGTTATTAAACCGACATTTTTGGTACTACAATTTTGGCTTATTTTGTTTCAACGTGCACCGCAACAGGTGGTGACGGAAGTGACGTAGTTACGCACTTAAAAGATATTGCGCATGACGAAAACTATTTTTCCAACTGATTCATATTATTAATCATATATATTAAATATATGACAAACTCATACAGTATTTTTATGATTTATAGTATACAGTTTCAAAATAACAATATGCTCATATAAATTGTCACTCATTGAATTGTCACTGAATTGAATTCCCTTGAAGACCTTGAATCGATCATGAATTGTCACTTATTGAAAGAATTGTCACTTATTTGATATAAATTCATACAAAGCCTACATCCCAAATACGGGACTAGCTAACAGTCGTGGGTCGTGGGTCGTGGGTAGAATGTCGTGGGTCGTGGGTAAAAAGGCGTGGGTCGTGGGTAAAAAGGCGTGGGTCGTGGGTAAAAAGGCGTGGGTCGTGGGTAAAAAGGCATGGGTCGTGGGTAAAAAGGCGTGGATCGTGGGTAAAAAGGCGTGGGTCGTGGGTAAAAAATCGTGGGTCGCGAATAAAAAGTCGTGAATTCCAAGCAAAATATTTCCATATATTTACCTTTCTCCCTTTGAATGCGTATTTTTTTTTTCTTCTCAGGCTTTCCCAAACTATGCCCAAATATGCATAGCTTAGAGCGCGTTAAGGCCGGGTTTTTGATATCGGCAGATCGGTTTATAAATATTATAACCAAGTGTGGATGAAACAGTTCAACTTCAAGCCCCATATAGCTCAAATATTTGGACGTTGTAATGTTATAGACAGATAAATATTGTAATTCTTCAATACGAAATAGTGCTGTCAAGCCTGTCATAAATAGCTAAATTCTGACATTCAGGGCTTCACTAATTTGTTGATCCATGTTCTTACAGTAATAAGCGAGAAATTTCCACTTGGACAGTGTTAATTTAATGCAATGTCTGTTAATTTACTAGGGAAAAATAAAAGAAAGCATTTGAGAGATTTCACTTAAATACATGCCACGATGTATACATACCAGGAAGTAGTGAATCTAGTGTCAAATTTATCATGATGTGATTTGTATTTTCTAATGGCAAACATATAAGTTACAAATATACAGTCACATAGTGACACATACAGTATTTTGTAACATTCATGCTTTGACTTATCTTTCAGTAGGCTTTTGTCGGATTATTTTACCGTAGGTTTGATAACAGAGAGGTATACTTCTACATATTTCTTGAGCATCAAGTTTCAGCGAAGTCAATGGCAAGTTGGAATTTGGAAATTTCACAGCGCTTATTTAATAACAACCGGAGTAGCATTGTTTACATGCAAGGTTTGTTCCGTTTGTAGTTTGCGATATTTCAGAAATCGTTTAGGATAGACTTCAGCAGTTTTAAATA